AGCAAGCCTCATGTTCGCGCTTCAGTGCATGGCTGCCGGCCGCCATCTTGGCTGACAGTTAATTTGCATAAGGATATGCTGATTAGCCAATGGGAAGGGTAGCGGTCGTACGCTAATTACCATGTTTCTCTTTTATTAGTGTAGATATTAGAACTGTTCTTCTTTATTAGTAGTTATTGTTGTCAATCTCTTACTGTGCCTAAACCATATGTTAAATTTTATCATAAGTATGTATGTAAAGGAAAAAACATAGTATTTAGTATACAGAATGTTCAGGCATCCATGGTATCAGGCACCGACTGGGAGTCTTGGACCTATCTCCGGTGGATAATGGGGGGACTACTCACTCTATGTGGAGCTAAGACACTTGACTCTAAAATTTGGCAGCAGTTACCAGAGAATAATTTTTATAGCCCATCTGATCATCTGTTAATTAGCATTTTCAAAAACATTCTTTTCCTTTTTTTTGGAAGAAGAGCAGAGTTTATTCTTTCTTGTTTTGTCAATAAGCGGTAAGGTTTACCAATAAAGGTAACCTGGGAGGGGATTGTTAGTAAAAAAATAAGAGAACTGGCCTTCCTCAGCAGGGTAGAAAGCTGCTAGTGAGTATGACCTGAGAGTAACTAAGAAAGATGCCAAAATTCCAAGGTTTCTCATCAGTGTTCTGTGGCCCCACATTTCCTCAATAAAGACAATCGTAGTCAACAGATGTAGCGAAGTTATTTAAGATAAGAACAAACTAAATAATTAAATACAGAGTTTAATCCCCACAAGTGAAGAATATGGCTCTGCTGGGCCCTATGAGATGGACCAGACTATGGGTGTGATCCAAAGAAGGCTGTCTAGGGGGATGGAAAATGTATCTGTTGGGAAAAGGAGAACACTCGTGGCAAAACACTCTGGGCTCAAGTCTGAGGTCAATAAAAGTATTCTGAACAGTGTTTTAGTGACTACAACATAAAAGATATACATAGAAATATAAAAACTATTCCAAAAGCTTGTATTTCAAAATTTGAAATAAAAAGGTATATTTGATAATGAAGATATTAAACTGGAAAACCAGAGAAAAGAGCATTCTTACCTTCCTTCATGATAAATTTCAATTAAAATAAGCTAAATTACAATTTGCACTTTAGTGTAAATTAACTACAATCCTAGGCTTAAAAGGCCATGTGCTAATTTAAGTTAGGTTTCCTTAACACAAGATTTTCATGTGAAGTATCTTTCAAATACATAATCATTATTTTTTCCATATAGGTCAAACCTAGAAGAACTTTGATTATACTGATCCATTTTTACACATGATGACAATATTTCTTATTGGACTAACAAATGATAGAGAATTAAACCCAAAAAAATCATAATAGAGAAAATGCTAGAGTAGAAATCTGGTATCACCAGCTTTCAAACTAGACACCAACCATAACTATCAGTATCCACTGACATACTGTGATATCACAGAGGACATTGTTCATTGCCTTCCCAACAGCAATGATCTCCTTTCTTCCTTACTAAAAATCCCAATTTTTGTGGGTGTCCCATTATCTTTATCAAACATTGCTTTAGCTGTAAGTATGGGATGCAATTTTGACCAATGACATGCAATGGGAAATATGTCGTGGGACCATTGAGAAAGGTTTAACTTAAGGAAAAAGAGAAACACAATAAAAGGGTACTACTCAACCAGCCCCAAGCAGAGCTGTGAGATGGTGTTACATGAGAATTTCAGTAGGGATTTCGTGGGTGTTAGCGCACATATAAGCTGGGAAGCTGAGAAGCGCTGAGCTAAATGAATCTCTGAAAACTTTGTTGAAAAACTGAATAACTATCCCTATAATGTTCTACTCCCTGATTTCATCTTATGTAAAATATTGAATTTATTTTTAAACCACTTTTACTCATAAATTCTGTTATTTAAGGCTGAAATATCTTAGTTGATAAAATCAAACAAAATTTAAAAGTCAGATCAATTACTCACCGTTAGCTCTCCTACTACTCAGTGAATTATATGTAGTATAACCTCTATAAATGTTTATTATATTTATTTTTATATCCATCTATCTCCATATGGAAATGAAAATACATTCTACACTGAGTCCAAACAATTCCCATAATGTTTTTGCTTAACATAAAAAGCATGTCATGAAAGGGAGACTATGTAACAACTGTATAGTCCAACTCCCAAGATTCCACAACAGGAAAAGACAATGGCTCAGAAACTTATCTAGCTGATTCAACAGTTGCAAAGGACATGAAAAATAAGAAACATAAACACTAATAAATAAATCCAGTGCTAAATTTCATAGGATTCAAATCTGGATCAGTACTAAGCAGCAGTATTAATTCATTATGGCTACGTTAATGTAAAGGTGATTAATTTTACACTCTGACACTTAATGTGATTGGTTAAATCCAGGCTGATTAAAAGTTAGTGAATTAGCCCTAGCTGGTTTGGCTCACTGGATAGACAAGGGCACATGCCTGGGTTGCGGTCTTGGTCCAATGTGCAGGAGGCAGCCAATCAATGATTCCCTCTCATCATTGATGTTTCTATCTCTCTCTTCCTCTCCCTTCCTCTCTGAAATAAAAAATATATTTAAAATAAAATAAAATAAAAGTTAGTGAATTAGAACTGGCTGGGAAAAGCCTGGTAATTATCTACTAAGTTAATTGTCAATTTCTCCAGTCATCAGATTTCAGACATCTTTACATTTTTAAGCAGATAGATATTTTTTAATGTCTTTACCTATATAATTAAAATAAATATTTTGAGTCAACATATCTGAGGAAATCAAAAAGGAAAGGAGAGAATCATAACATGATGAATTATATTTTCTAAATAAACATATTTTAAGATTCTTATGAACCTCCAGTAAATTCTCAAGGACTATGTCAAACACCAATGTCCCATGCAACTTTTCCTGGTTTCCTTATTATAATGACTTCTCTCCCCTTTGACTCCCATAGCATATTGTTTCGTCTATTATGGCATTCACTGTCTGCTTTGCATCAGCTCTTGTTCATGTATTTGTCACTCTTAGTAGGTTAATATCTTTGAAGGCATAAGTGCAGTTTAACCATATCTGTACCCCTTGCAAGGTCTATCCAGTGACTTTCATTAAGGAGATTCAATAATTTGTTCAATTGATGGGAATTATATTTTTATTCTTCCAAACCAAAATCTTTTATTAGAATTCATCTTTAAACTCTCTTATACAAAAACTCTGACCAAAACCTTGATTACACTTTAGCTTTACAACTCTACCAACATAAAAGAATGTAAACGTCACACGTGGTACAAAGTGACTTTAACTATATCAACGCACATTTAGTACCCGAATGTGGGTTGATATAAAGTGGTTCCTTACACCTGCTAGAAAGAAAAGACTTTTGTCCTTGACCAATTGAAATTGGATTTTCATTGCTCTGTGTTCTCTGTCTCCAGTCCATCTCCTCTCAGTCCATCCTCAACATTATTATAAGAGTAAATGCATTTATTCCCATAATACCCACAAAGTAAACTGCTGAATTGAATGCTGATTCAAGATCCCAATATAGCCCATGTCTATTTCTAATCCCAAATTTCAACCCAGGCAACCTAGTCACATATGTGACTTGTTCACATTTGTTAGAGAGAGGAGGGGAGAGGAAGAAGGAGAGGGAAGAGGTGAGGAAGGGAAAGAGGGACAATAGGCCCAAAATAGAATCAGTTGTGCTAAGTCCATGTCACCAAACTGAGACTTAATAGTAACCTAATTGCAGTTTCAGCCTCTCCCAAAAATATAATCCTAACCAGTCAGTCTGGAATTTCCTGGTCAGCACTAGTGAGGACATCGACCTGATAGACCTCACTACTGTCCCCCAAAGAAAGGTGACTTTGCCTCAAACAATCCACTCTTTCCCAGTCACTTCCTTGTCCCACCTTCTCCTTTCTGCCTATAAAACCCTCCACTTTATACAGCTCCATGGAGCTCCTCTTTAGTTGCTAAATGGGATGTTGCCTGATTCATGAATAAAGATAAACAGATCTTTAAATTTACTCAGTTTAATCTCATTCATTCTATATTTTGTTTAGGCCATATCCTGTTTGTAAACACCTTCTTATCATTTCCAATCAAAATCCAATCCATCCTTCAAGAACCCAAATAACTCCTGCCCCCTCCACAGAGTCTAGAACACATTGATCTCTTCCCTTATCTGAACTCTACACTTTAATTTTTACACACATTGACAGTTAGATGAATAGAATATTATTTATCCTTTAACATGTATATATCTTGATAATTCAATAAATTTGTATATTCTTCAAGTCGGGAATAATTTATACTATTTCATTATTCTAAAGTAACAAAGTGCCCAAAAATGTTAAGCATACAATATATTTTGGATTATTACTATTGAGGACTTAATGTGAAAAGCTAGATGGAATTATAACTTGGAGGTCCAAATGTAATTAAAATGTATGCTGCCATTATGATCTCTACATGAATACTTATTTTAAAACCAAAGTGAAATATTTTTATTTTTTGTTACTAAATTATAAGATGATAATACAATATCTATATTCAAACAACTCTGCTCTTTGAATTCATTCTTAGAGCTCAGTAAGGTTAATAAAACATTCATTCTTGTGGTTTAAGAAAACTGGACCTATCACTAAAACTTTCTTTTCATGTACATAATTACACATATTTTAAAATATCCAGTAGAATTCTATAAAGTCATATTTCAATTTTCACATTTTAACAATATCCCATGAAAAGACTGTTTCAATTTAGATTTAAAATTTGGAAAGAAAGGAACATTAGAAATGAGTCAACTAACATTTTTCCAAAGAAGATATACTAATGTCCAACAGGTATATAAAAAGGTACTCAACATCACCAATCTTGAGGGAAATGTAAGCCAAAACTACAATGAGATAGATATCACCTCACATCTGACATTATGGCCACTATCAAAAATATAAGAAATAATAAGTGTTGGAAAGGATGCGGAGAAAAGGAAACCCTTCCTTATGTACTGTTGGAAGGAACGGTGCAACCACTATGGAAAACCGTATGGAGGTTCCTAAAAAAATTAAAAACAGAACTACCATATGGCCCAACAATTCCACTTCTGGGTATATATCCAAAGGAAATGAAATTGGTATCATAAAGAAACCAGTACCCCCATATTCAACTGCAGATTCCTAATAGTCAAGATATGGAAAGAGGTAAGTGTCTGTGGACAGATGAATGGATAAAAAATGTGGTACATACTTACAATGAAATATTATGTAGTCATAAAAAAACAAATTCCTGCCATTTGTGACAACATGGATGAACTTGGAGGACATTATGCTAAGTGAAATAAGCCAGACACAGAAAGGCAAGTATTGTTTGATTTCAATTATACGTGGAATCTGAAAACTCAATCTCATAGAAGCAGAGAGTAGAATGAGTGTTTGCTGGGGGGTGGGGGTGGGGGAAATGGAGATATGTTTGTCAGAGGGTATAAACTTTCAGTTATAATATGAATAAGTTCTGGGAATGTAATATAAAGCATGGTTGTTATGGTTGTTAAAAGTGAATTGCATACTTAAAATCTGCTAAGAAAGTAATCTTAAGTGTTCTCACCATGCACACACAAAAATGGTAACTATGTGAGGTGATGAATGTTTTAATTAACTTGATTGTGGTAATCATTTCTCTCTCTATATAAAACATCATGATGTTGCACACCTAGAAAAATCACATCATACAAACTAAATATATATAATTTTATTTGCCAATCATACCTAACAAAGCTTGGAAATAAATTAAGGAAAGAAGACCCTCATAAAATATTTATAGAATGTATGATATAAAGGTACTCACCTGTATGCCAATGCTAAAGCCAATTTCACGAAGACTATCCACAACAATCGCGCAATTGTGAAAATACTGTTCAGGACCTTTTGGTTGTGTGTACATATTCATAAAATAAGGCTCAACCTGGAAAAGACAACAATCAAACCTTTCAGTTATGGAATAAAATTATTGCTTTTTAACTATTCTCTGTAATTCAACAAAGAACCATTTAAATATGAACATTTGTCTGTAGTATACTACTGCAATATAAGAATAAACAAAAAGGTAATGCTGGCCATGCAGGTTTAGGTGTTAAATAAAATAAAAACATTTAAAAGAATCAGTTTGCAGAGAATAATTGGAATGTAAATTATTAAGTTCTCTCAACTAATAGAAGACCATTCTGCATAAAAATAACTCTTACCAGAAATGGACAATAGGCTCCCAACACTGTGGCAAAAACAAGGCCATCTGAAAGGTGTTTGTCAAAATTTAGTATCCATCTCTCAGAGGGAATACCTGTTCCAAAAAAAAGAGTAAATATAACAATAGTTTTACTTCTCTAAAAAGATATCTTATGGAAATTTGATCAATAGTCTAGTCAAAGAAATATTTGCCTTTGCTTGGAAAAAAAATAATATTATTTTGGAAATAAAAACAAAACTTAAACCTCACTTAATATCAGGAAATATAGCTGTGGGATTTTATAAGCAATTGCAAAAGCTATCTCCTTTATGTTTGAATCGCTTTGAAGAATACACTACCATATAGTAATAGAAGAAAAATCCCGGATTTTAAAATTACTCATTCTGTACAGTAATTTGGAATTCAAATGTTTAATCGCGATCATCAACATGGATAAACAGGCTCAGAAGATCTGGAGTTACTTGTAACTCTAAATTTTAGTGCCAGCTTCCCTATTTGTTGCAGAAATTCCTCCACATGTAGAGTATGTGGAAGGAGTTGGAAACTTATGGTTTAAAGAAACCCAAATCTATACTAATAATAGCCTAGGTCAGTGGTTCTCAACCTTCCTAATGCCGCGACCCTTTAATACATTTCCTCATGTTGTGGTGACCCCCAATTTCATTGTTACAAATTGAACATAATTAAAGCATAGTGATTAATCACAAAAACAATATGTAATTATATATGTGCTTTCCAATGGTCTTAGGTGACCCCTGTGAAAGGGTCGTTCGACCCTCAAAGGGGTCGCGACCCACAGGTTGAGAACCACTGGCCTAGGTGGTTGTTGCCCTAACGTCATCACAAGATGGCTGTCACAAGATGGCCGTCACAAGATGGCCACGTGCACAGCGGAGGCGGGCCCCAGGGAAGAGGTGGGTCACAGCAGGGAAGGGCAGTAGTGAGCGATCAGGCTGGCAGGGGAGCAGTTAGGGAGCTATCAGGCTGGCAGGCAGAAGCGGTTAGGGGCAATCAGGCAGGTAGGCAGGCAAGCAGTTAGGAGCCAGCAGTCCCAGTTGGAGATGGTGCAGGCCGGGCTGAGGGACACAACCCCCAGGCCTCTAGTTGAACTATAAAAGATAACACAAGATGGAGGAGTAATAAAAGGACTTCAAAGTTGAGACTAGAACAAAAGACAAAGTATCTGGATATTTAGTAAATATCTGAAAGATTGTCCTATATTAGGGAGAGAGGGGGTGATTCAAACATTGGAAATCATTGCTATGTTGGATACGACATTTCCTTTTTAAAATGCTTCTAGAGGAGAAACCAAGATGGCGGCATAGGTAAACACCGGAAATTGCTGCCTTGCACAACCACTTCAAAAATACAACTAAAAGACAAAATGTACATCATCCAGAACCACAGGAAGGCTGGCTGAGTGGAAATTCTACAACTAGAAGGAAAGAGAAAAGCACACTGAGACTCAGAGGAGGTGCAGTGTGGAAGTAAAGTG